GCAGTGGCAGCCCACTCCAGGAAGGAGAGCCATAGAGCAGAGGGTCTTGGTCCCTCTCAGCCCTGTACTACCTGGAGGGCAGGGGCAAGGAGATCCCGGCATGGTGAGACTCTGCTGAGGGTGCTTCTCCTGGTTCCTCCTCCTCTCTTGCATGCACACACATTCTCTACCATGTTTAAAACAAACACACTCAAATACGCTGAATGAATTTAAATGCTTTCTTCTCTCAGACACGTTTTTTCCATTTACAGCATCAACTAGGGGAACCCGCACACTCACAAACTATTTAGGTACTCTAAAAACAGACAAAACTCTCAAACCCTGAATGGCTGAAAGGGGCCTGGGAAGGCTTTCTGGGGAGATGGTGATGAAGCTGAGACCCCTGGGTGACATGGTTAAAGCCGCTAGTCGAAACTGTAAGGCTAGGATTGTGCATTTGATGTCTGTAAATTTTACTTCAAAGAACAATCACTACGATGACAATAACCATCCTCCATCACTGTGGAGTGGAGGGTGAGGAGCAGGGGAGGCACAGAAGGCAAGACAGCAGCAGGATGCTGACAGGCATGTTTGGGAGGCTCACAGGGACTCACTACACTGCTGTGCTTCCTGTGCACACCGGCACGCTCCAGTAACGAGGCAGGACAGATGGATCTGCTCTCCCTCATCTATGAAAAGACAGAGGCCAGGGCAACGGGAGCTTCGCAGAGCCGTTTGTCCTCGAGATTGAAGTTGTTGAACCAGTTACCTATCGTGCCTGGGTGGCCATGGTTGTCCTCTCGGGTTCTCACCATGTTCATCTACCTGAGCAAGAAAACTGCCATTCCCAATAATGTGAAGCTGAAATGCATATCCTGGAACAAGGACCAAGGGGTCATAGCATGTGGTGGTGAAGATGGATTACTGAGAGTTTTGAAATTGGAGACACAGACAGATGATGCAAAATTGAGAGGTCTTGTAGCTCCTAGTAACCTTTCTATGAATCAAACTCTTGAAGGTTATAGTGGTTCTGTTCAAGTTGTAACATGGAATGAACAATATCAGAAGCTGATCACCAGCGATCAAAAAGGTCTTACCATTGTCTGGATGTCATATAAAGGCTCTTGATATGAAGAGATGATCAACAATAGAAATAAGTCTGTGGTTTGAAGCATGAGCTGGAATTCTGATGGACAGAAGATCTGCAATGTATATGAAGACAGAGCTGTGATAGTTGGTTCAGTGGACGGGAGTCGGATTTGGGGGGAAGACCTGAAGGGTATACAGCTAAGCCATGTAGCATGGTCCACAGACAGTAAAGTCTTACTTTTCGGAATGGCAAATGGGGAAATACACATTTATGATAACCAAGGGAATTTTATAATGAAAATGAAACTCAGTTGTTTGGTGAATGTCATGGGAGCAATCAGCACTGCTGGAATTCATTGGTACCACGGCACAGAAGGCTATGTGGAGCCCAATTGCCCTTGCCTTGCTATTTGTTTTGACAATGGGAGGTGCCAAATAATGAGACATGAGAATGACCAAAACCCAGTTTTGATTAATACCAGCATGTATGTCGTAAGTATTCAGTGGAACAACATCGGCAGCGTGTTGGCTGTGGCTGGCTCCCGGAAGACCATCACCCAGGAGAAAGATGTGAACATTGTGCAATTGTACACACCATTTGGTGAGCATCTGGGTACTTTGAAAGTTCCTGGAAAGCACATGTCTGCACTATCTTGGGAAGGAGGAGGACTGAAAATTGCACTACCTGTTGATTCCTATATATATTTTGCAAATATTCAACCTGATTATAAGTAGGGTTATTGCTCAAATACAGTAGTTTATGCATACACCAGACCTGATCGTCCAGAGTACTGTGTTGTCTTTTGGAATACAAAAAACAATGAGAAATATGTTAAATATGTGAAGAGCCTCATTTCTATTACTACCTGTGGCGATTTTTGCATTTTGGCTACAAAAGCTGATAAAAATCATCCTCAGTTTGTACTAGTTCTTTGTAATTCTATTGGCACACCCTTGGATCCAAAATACATTGATATAGTACCATTATTTGTTGCAATGACCAAAACTCATGTGATAGCAGCTTCAAAAGAAGCATTTTACATCTGGCAATATCGTGTGGCAAGGAAGCTCACAGCACTGGAAATTAACCAGCTCTCACAGTCCCAAAAAGAAGGGAGAGAAAGAATTTATCATGTCGATGACTCTCCTTCTGGATCAGTGGATGGGATGCTTGATTACAGTAAAGCCATTCAAGGGACAAGGGATCCGATTTGTGCTATAACTGCATCTGATAAGATGTTGATTGTGGGTCGTGAATCTGGCACTATTCAGAGATATAGTCTTCCTAATGTTGGTTTGATTCAAAAATATTCCCTTAATTGTCGCGCCTACCAGTTATCCTTGAACTGCAACTCTAGTCGGCTTGCTATCATAGATATATCAGGAGTTCTGACTTTCTTTGACTTGGCTGCTTGGATGACAGACAGTACAAGACAGCAAGTAATCAGAGAGTTGTTAAAATTGGAGCAGAAAGATGTCTGGAATATGAAGTGGACCAAGGATAATCCTGATTTATTTGCCATGATGGAGAAGACAAGAATGTATGTTTTCAGAAACTTGGATCCTGAGGAGCCCATTGAGACCTCTGGATATATCTGTCACTTTGAGGATTTAGAAATTAAATCTGTTCTCTTGGATGATATATTAAAGAATCCAGAACATCCAAACAAGGATTTTATAATTAACTTTGAGATTCGGTCCCTACGAGATAGTCGAGCATTGATTGGCATTGGAATTCAAGATGCATCTCAGTTCATAGAGGACAATCCACACCCCTGACTCTGGCGCCTCCTGGCTGAAGCAGCTCTTTAGAAGCTAGACTTGCACACCGCAGAGCGGGCGTTTGTGCACTGCAAAGATTACCAAGGCATTAAATTTGTGAAGCACCTGGGCCATCTGCAGAGTGAATTGATGAAGCAGGCTGAAGTTGCTGCCTAGTTTGGCAAGTTTGAAGAGGCTGAAAGAATGTACCTTGATATGGACAGAAGAGACCTGGCTATTGGCCTCCGGGTGAAATTGGGAAACTGGTTTAGAGTACTCCAGCTCCTGAAAACTGGATCCGGCCATGCAGATGACACTCTCCTTGTACAAGCCAACAATGCCATTGGAGACTACTTTGCTGATCGGCAAAAGTGGTTAAATGCTGTATAACATTATATACAAGGCTGGAGCGAGGGACGCCTAGCGGAATGTTACTATAAGTTAGAAGATTATGAAGGGTTGGAGAATTTTGCCAGTTCACTTCCAGAAAATCACGAACTGCTTCCAGAAATAGCTCAAATGTTTGTGCGAGTTGGAATGTGTGAGCAAGCCGTGACTGCATTTTTGAAATGTAATCAACCAAAGGCAGCTGTAGGTACCTGTGTGCATCTTAACCAATGGAACAGAGCTGTTGAATTGGCTAAAAGTCACAACATAAAGGAAATTAGATCCCTTTTGGCTAGGTATGTATCTTATTTAATTTACTGGAAAAGAATAAAATTTTTGATGCTGTAGAACTCTATCGGAAAGCCAATTACTTTTTTGATGCTGCTCAAGTGATGTTTAAGATTGCAGATGAAGAGGCCCAGAAAAGAACTAAGCCTTTATGCATTAAGAAGCTCTACGTAATGGCGGCTTTACTAATAGAGCAGTACCATGAACAGGTGAAAAATGGAGCAACGAGGAAAATTAAAGGAAAGAGTTCGGAGGCCACGTCTACTTTGGCAGGTTTGCTGGAGGAGGAAGCTCTATCTTCTAGTCGTTTCACAGATAATGCCTGGAGAGGGGCTGACTGAGGCTTACCACTTCTTTCTACTGGCACAGAGGCAGCTCTATGAGGGCTATGTCGATGCTGCATTGAAAACAGCTCTTCACCTGAGAGACTATGAAGACATCATCCCTGCAGTGGAGATCTACTCTCTGCTCACACTCTGTGCGTGCGCCAGTAGAGCTTTCGGCACTTGTTCAAAAACGTTTATCAAGCTTGAATCTTTAGAGACGCTCAGTTCTGAACAGAAACAGCAATACGAAGATCTAGCTCTAGAAACCTTCACCAAGCATACTCCAAAAGATAACAGAGAATTGGAACTGAACAGCCTTCTTGAAGGTGGAGAAGGGAAACTGCCAATATGCGTTGCCACAGGAAGCCCGATCACCGAGTACCAGTTCTGGATGTGCAGGGTGTGCAAGCACTGCGTTCTCGCTCAGGAAGTAAGCAACTACAACTTCTGTCCCTTATGCCACAGTTCAGTAGGATAAAGAATGCCGATCCGTATGTAATTGTAAAATAAATGCAATATTTATACTTAGCGATAGCTGTATATGTAATAAGGTTGACTTCTATAAGTTTATATAAAAATCAATCTCATTATTTTATAGTTGTATTTTGCTCAAAATATATGTTGATATAAAATAATTCATTTTGTACAGAAGTATGACTTTGAAGTGATAAGGCTGATTTTCATGAAAAACTTAAGGAAGTCAATCTTATTTTCTGTCTATCTGTATCTATCTATCATCTCTAGTTCTATATCTGTCTATCATTTATCTGCCTTGTGGTTGGTTACACAATACTATGGAAATACTCCAAATAAGAAATGTCTTCTCATGGTGTCCAGGTTACTAATTCATTATAATTTTTTGATAATTACAAAAACCTTGGGGGTTGGGATAGGGAGTAGGCAGAGTGGAATGGAAGTGACTTACTCTGTACTGCAGGGGGTTAAATGTCTGTGTAAGAGATGAGCTTAAGCTTAAATGCATCTACTTTGATCAAAATAAATAAATAAATAAATAAATAAATAAACAAGGAGACAAAACAAGTCCTTTAAGCCCATGCTCAGCAGTGTCTTCTGCAGGCTGTCCACTCTCCTTCCCAGGCCTGTGAAAATGCCCCATCTTGCTCCCTAAAGCAAACCCTAAAAGAAGACAAAGAGCAGGAGGAACCAAGCTGCCGTTTGGCCCGACAAATTTATTAAGGAGAACTCTGTCTTCTTCCTACCTAGAGAAACCTTGAGAGGTTGGCACCCGCCCATGTCTGGTCCCAGGCCCTTCCCCGTGCCTGGCTGGATAGACGTGGATGCCTCCAGCTCGTGTTAAGTCCCAGGCCTGCACAGGGGCCATCACACCACCTTGTTGATGATGACCCCCAGGTCTTCGATCTCACACTGGACTTCATCTCCCTTCTGCAACAGAACAGGCCACGGAGGCCTCAGCCCTTTGCTGTGACACACACGTCTGCACACACACAGGCCCGCATTCCTCTAATCTGAGCCCAGCCTGCCAGGCCTTCCCGGGCCCTGTGCTGGCACCCCTTCCTCCTTAGCTAACCTACCTTGAGAAAGACAGGCGGTTTCCTGAATACACCAACACCTGGGGGCGTCCCAGTCAGGAAGATGTCCCCTGGGTAAAGGGTGACAAACCTGGGGAAAAGCAAAAGGACCCGGTGAGATCTGGGGAAGATGTGACCTGCCAGGGACAGAGGGCTCAGCTCGGCATCCAGGTGTGTGGGGGGCCGGGTGGGGGTGGCCAAGAGGCCCCAATGTAGCTTACTGGGAGACCCAGGCTATCAGCTCTTCCGTCTTAAACACCATCTGGTTGGTGTTGCTGCTCTGGACCACCTCCCCGTTGAGTCGGCAGCAGATCTTCAAGTTGTGTGGATCTGAAATGCAGACACCACAGGGTCATCCCTTTTCCCCTCAAACCTCTCCCCACATTTCAGAAAAGGACACTCTCTAGAGTCTTCGAAACTGGCGAGGTGGAAGGGCTTCATGGCCACTCCCACTCGGCACTCTACCCTGGAACTCCCCACAGACACCAGCCTCCTTGGGCTCCTGCGCCCCACCACCCAGGCAGCAGCCATCCGCCTGACGCCCCAGCCTGCCATAGGCATGGGCGGCTTGCGTGGCTGTGCTTTAGGGCCTGCACTCTGCCCTCTCGGTCACTGCCTCACTCCCGGCTCTCATGGTGTCCTGGCTGCTGGTAGGTGTGTTTACATGGTGGCTGGGTGGGGTCTTGCTGGTGCTCACATCTCCCTTAGCGTGGAAGTGCACGGGCTCTGTGACAGCCACTCTCTGCCATCTCAAGTGCCCCCTTGGTTCCTTTCAACTTAAAGACAGTTCAGGATGGTGGCAGTTAGAAGAAGCCCCACCCACCCATCAGTGCAGTGTTGTTCTTTTAATTCCCACTGCAGGTGCAGAATAACAGCCTCCACAGTAGTGTTCCCTCTCAGGAGTTCTGGAAGGCAGAGCTCAGGGCTGAGGCAGACACTTGCCCTCCATGGACTGAGGAGTACAAGGGCAGCTGGAGGGTGGGCTCAGTTGGAGCTGCACCTGCACTCCCACTCCCTGCAGCATTAAGATGTCCATGTAAGGGCAGATGCAAGTAGTGGAGGCCAGGGACCTACCTGCTATACTGTCCTTGGTCACCAAGGCAGGGCCCAGGGGGCAGAAGGTGTCGAAGGTTTTTCCTAATAGCCACTGCTTCCCATTGCGTCTCATTTGCCAGTCACGAGCACTCACGTCATGAGCCACAGTGAAGCCGGCCACGTGAGCCATGGCATCTGTGGCCTATGGAGATTCGGCCAGATACGAGGTTAGGTCACAGGTGACACCAGTCCCTACGACAAGGATCTCAAAGCTTCTATCCCATGTTAGGAGCCAGAGCTAGCTGAAGGTGATGAGTGACAGACAAGGCGGGAGCAGGTAGGTGTTGAACACATCCCAGGGCCAGGGATGCTGGGCACCAACCACTGTGCTGATGACCAAGGTCAGCACTGGCAAGGCAGGAGCGGGAGCCTCTGCTGCACTCTGGCCTGGTAGCCCACCCCGTCTGCCTCACCTTGATGTGCTTGCCTTTCTTCCCAATGACCACGGCCAGCTCCACCTCCCAGTCCACCTCCTGTAAACAGAGAGGAGCAGTGAGCTGCAGTGGCTCTAGGGCCCGTTCTGTGCTGAGGCTGCACACTGGACCCCTGGCTGTGGGGTTCAGCCTATGGCCCACAGGTGCAAAAAGCACGTACCAGAGCCATGTGAGTGATGGGAGGTGGGACTTGTGGAGTAGTAAACTCCAGGCAGTGGCAGGGAGCCCCACTGGGTGCAGGCCAGCTCCACTGTGACTGCAGAGCCACGCATGTCTGGCAGACTGAGTTTAAGTCACTCCTGATCCTTGCAAGACAGGATGAATACGAAGAGCAATAGCTAGCACTGTGTAACCCTACTGTGTGCCAGGCACTATTGTTTTTGTTTAGAGGTTTTTGTCATAGGATGTGTGCACTCGCCAGAGAGAGAAAGACAGTGAAAGGGAAAGTGAGCAGTCACCTCCCAGAGGGGATGGCCACATCGCAATTCTTTCTCCATTCTCCTGGGATCTTGGGGACACATGCACATGCGCCCTGTGTGATTTTCAAGCCATGAGGTCTGGGACTCAAATCGTGGTCAGCCATGTGGGAGTGTAGCAATGAAACCACTATGTCATATGCTGGCCCCACCAGGCACCGCTCTAAGTGCTTTAAGTTAGTTACTCATTTTCATGAGAAGAAAAAGACCAGCATCCCCAAATAAATGTGGCAAAGGATTTAAATAAGCATTTCATATCACATTATGTATGTTTTTCATGTCTTGTGGCCACTTATATTTTGACCACAAAACATGAACAAATGTCCACTCATAATCAGTGAGATGCATGCAAACAGATATAATTTCGCCTTTCTAACTGACTGCCGTCAGTGTCATGGAAGACGGCAATGGGCAGGGGAACTGGAGAAGATTAGGGGGTGGCAAACAGTGGTCTGTTTGGTAAATAAAGTTTTACGTACCCTCACCCGTGTGCTCATTAACATAACGTCCTGGCATCCTTAACACTCCAACAGAGTTGAACTGTTGCAATAGGTCGTGTGACACTCAAAGCCTGATGGTTATTAACTGGCCTTTTAAGAAAAGTCTACGGACCCCACGCTGTAGGTTAAAGCCACCAGAGACATAACCATATAGAATTGATTGGTCCCGGATCAACAAACAAAAAAGTAACCAAATTAAAAGTCATCTTTGGGGGACCAGCAGGCGGCATGGTGGTTGATGCACTAGACTCTCACATGACCAACCATGGTTCGAGTCCTAGACCTGGTAGCTTGCTTTCTCACTTCCCCTTTCTGTATCTCTCTTTCAAATTAAAAAAAATTAAAAAATTAAAAAATAAAAATTTAAAGTCATCTTTTGGGGGGCACTACTAGCATTATTCCTTATGAGAATTAGAACAACTATACAAGGAGAATTCAACAACTTCACAGAAAAATAGAATTGAAATACCAGTTTAATTTGTGCAAAAAGTTTTTGAAAATCCATGCATAGCTTTTTCATAATAAGCATTCTCCATGAACCTTTCGATAATCCCTTATTGGATATTATTAACGTTCGTGGTTGTGATTATGGTATTAAGGTTATACAGGTTCTTGTCCTCGTTCACTGGAGACAGACACTGAGATGTTCATGAATGAGCAGTCTTTTTTTTTTTTTTTGAGAGGTTTTTGCTATAGGGCGCGTGCGCTCGCCAGACAGAAAGAGACAGAGAGACAGAAAGCGAGAAATCACCCCCCGGGGGGATGGCCACGCCGCAATCCCTTCTCCTCCATTCTCCTCTCGGGATCTTGGGCACACACGCACACGCGCCCGGCGTGAGTTTAAGCCACCGGGTCCGGGACTCGAACCGCGGTCGACTACGTGGGAGTCCAGCGACATAGCCATTACGCTAACTGCTGGTCCCAATGAATGAGCAGTCTTAACAAAGGGTCTCTCCCAGCCCCCTCAAAAAGTGGCATTTGTTCATGTGGAAAGAGAAAGAGAACGCAAATACAATAAAATCTTTACAGCAAAACAGATGAAGAGTATAGGAGTATTCATTGTACTATTTTCCAACTTTCCTGTAATTTCCAAAACATTCCTAAAATAGTAACTTAAACAGGGACCAGCATTTGGCGTAATGGCTATGTCGCTGGACTCCCAGGTAGTTGACCGCAGTTTGAGTCCTGCACCTGGTGGCTTAAACTCACGCTGGGCGTGTGTGCATGCGTGCCCAAGATCCTGAGAAGAGAATGGAGAAGGGATTGTGGCGAGGCCATCCCCCTGGGGGTGATTTTTTGCTTTCTGTCTGTCTTTCTGACAAGCACACGAGCCCTATAGCAAAAACCTCTCAAAAATAAATAAATAAATAAATAAATAAACAAACTAACCAGTGTTAGTAAGGGTGCATGCGCTGCTGTGGATATGTATATTACCTTTATAACTTTTTTGAGGGTTAATTTGTTAGAATTTCTCAGGCACAGACATTGAAATCCTGAGTTTATTCAAAGTAACTAGGCATCTATTGGTGAATATGCAAAGTCTTTTCTACATACAGATGCTTACTGTAATATTTATAGAAGCCCAAAACCAGAAACAACTTAAGAACCTAGCAATAGAAGACTAGTGAATAAATTATAGCCATTGGTAATACAGAAAACTATCCAGTAACCTAAAATATGCCAGGGAGAATATTTAATGGCAGGGAGAAAATGTTTTTATCAGACTCTTAGAGTAAGTTAGGTATCTTCCCATATAAATAAATAACAGGGATAGACAAGCAAGCTTTGGCAGAGGAATATGGGTGACATTTGTTGTGGGTTTTATTGTGACTTTTGGTATAGGGTGTGTGTGTCACCAGAAAGACAGAAAGACATAAAGTGAGAAATCACCCACTAGTGGGAATAGCCTTGCCAAAAATACCTTTTCCTCCATTTTCCTCTTGGAATTTTGGCAACATGCACATGCGCTCAGAATTTTTTAAAAAAGTCTGTATTAATGTTCTCTAATGAGCGTTTATTACTTTTGCAGACAGGAGGAGTAAGGTTCTCCCACCCCCCAGTGTTATTCTATACAAACCTTGTAGTTTCTGCTTGGAGCACTGCTGAGCGACAGGTGTTTCCTGCAGGCCAATGCTGGGCTCAGAGTGCCCTTGCAATAGGTCCCAGGGGCGCGGGAGGGCAGTGGGGAGACACTGACCTTGCTCTCGGGTGGGAGGACGACCTCATCGTAGGGCCCCACGATGGAGCTGGCAAACTTGCTGAAGATGATGGGCTCCGTGGGCACAGGCACGTTCTGTTCTTTGCAGTGATCCACATAATTCATGCCCACACACACCACCTTGTCTGGCCGCGTGACTGGGGCCAGGAGGGTCACCTCTGACCGCGGCAGGACAGGTAGCTGGGCAGCCTGAGCCCTGCAGGGACCAGAGCAGGAGAAAGGGGCTGGCTGGGGAGATCCTGCAGCAGCTCCAAGATTTGCTTTTTAAAATATACTTCCCAGGGCCAGTAGATGGCGTGCTGGTTAAGGCACTGAAACTCACACTGGGTGTGTGTGCCTGCCCAGGATCCTGAGAGGGGAATGGAGGAGAAGGGATTGTGGAATGGCCATCCCCCCTGGGGGGGTGATTTCTCGCTTTCTGTCTCTCTGTCTCGCTCTATCTTTCTGGCAAGCGCACGCACCCTACAGCAACAACCTCTAAAAAAAAAAAAAAAAGTGGTATGTGTTCATGTGGAGAAAGAAAGAAAACAAATATGGTAAAACCCTAACAGGTGAAGAATATGTGAGTGTTCATTGTACTATTTTCCCAACATTTCTAAAATAGAAACCTGTAGAAAAACTAAGCAGTGTTAGTAAGGGTGGATACTCTGCTATAAATGTGTAGATTACTTTTATAAAAATAATTTGAGAGAAATTTTTGCTATAGGGTGCCAGAGAAACAGAAGCAAGAAATCACACCCCTTTCCCCCAGGGATAATGGCCACACCGTAGTCCCTTCTCCGTCATCATCTCACCATCTTGGGCATGCACACACAGGTACCCGGCATGAGTTTTTCCACCGGGTCTAGGACTTGAACTGCAGTCAACTACATGGGAGTTCAGCGACGTAACCACATGCCATCTACTAGTCCCTGACTTTTATAACTTTTTTGAAGGTTAATTTGGCAGAATTCCTCCAAAGTTTCGAAACACTAACTCTGACACCGACATTCAACTTCTGAATTTATTCTAAGTAAATAATCACATATTAAACGATATACAAAGTCTTTTTTTTTTTTTTTGAGGTTTTTGCTATAGGGTGTGTGCACTTGCCAGAAAGAAGGAGAGAGACAGAGAGACAAAAAGTGAGAAATCACCCTCCTGGGGGGGATGGTCACGCTGCAATCCCTTCTCCTTTCTCCTCTTGGGATCTTGGACTCGAACACACACACACACGCCCAGCATGAGTTTAAGCCACCAGGTCCAAGACTTGAACTGCAGTTGACTACATGGGAAAGTCCAGGACGTAGCCATTACGCTATCTGCTGATCCCCCAAAGTCTTTTCTATATAATGATGTTTATTACAATATTACTTATAGATGCAAAAAACTGGAAATGACTTAAGTATCTAGCAGTAGAAGACTAGTGAATAAATTATGGCCATTGGAACAACAGAAAACTATGCAGTACCCTTACATATGCCAGGCAGAGTAACAGCAGGGAAAAAAATGTTCTTATAGGAATCTTAAGTAAAAGGTAGGTATCGTGCCAGTCTAGATACATACAGAAATGGAAAAGCATGAGCAGATACACACCAAAACATCCATAATGCAAGCCTTGACAGAACAAATATGGGTGACATTTACTTTTTTTAATGTTTATCTGTATTTTATTAATTTTCTACAATGAGGGTATATTAATTTTGCAATCAAGAGTAAATTTCTTTTTTTTCTGAGGCCAGTGTTATTCCATACAAACCTCAGTAGTGCTTAGAGCACTGCTGAGCGACAGGTGTTTCCTGCAGGCCAATGCTGGGCTCAGAGTGCCCTTGCAATAGGTCCCAGGGGCGCGGGAGGGCAGTGGGGAGACACTGACCTTGCTCTCGGGTGGGAGGACGACCTCATCGTAGGGCCCCACGATGGAGCTGGCAAACTTGCTGAAGATGATGGGCTCCGTGGGCACAGGCACGTTCTGTTCTTTGCAGTGATCCACATAATTCATGCCCACACACACCACCTTGTCTGGCCGCGTGACTGGGGCCAGGAGGGTCACCTCTGACCGCGGCAGGACAGGTAGCTGGGCAGCCTGAGCCCTGCAGGGACCAGAGCAGGAGAAAGGGGCTGGCTGGGGAGATCCTGCAGCAGCTCCAAGATTTGCTTTTTAAAATATACTTCCCAGGGCCAGTAGATGGCGTGCTGGTTAAGGCACTGGATCCCACATGGACACTAGCACAAAACAGCACAGTTAGACAGCCAGACCTGGTGTTTTGAAAAACATGCTGGGCTTGCATGCATGTGTGTTCCAAACCCCAAGAGGAGAATGCAGGAAAAAGGATTATGGTATGACCATCCCGTTTTCTCATTTTCCCTCCCTCGCTTTCTGACTAGCCACAGTGACCTACAGCAAAAACCTACATATAATATACATTATATAAATCTTTTTCCAGCTCTGTTGCCCTTAGTGTCAGCATGAAAACCCAGCCCAGCTACTGTCCTTTGTTATCACAGCACTGTTTATCACTCATCCACTGTTAATTTCCTGACCAAATTAGGTACTTCATGTCCACATACAAGAGTTCAAAAGGTAGAGATGGGAATAAGTTTCGCCCCTCTGGCCACCCTGTTAACCTCCTTGGAGACAACCACGTGTCCAGTGCGGCTCTTTACAGCCACTCTGGTGATCTCTCCCCCCACCTTTTGGATGCACAGGACAACACACTACAGACACCTCTTTTTTGTTCTTTTTACTAGAGGGTGCCTGTACTCACCAGAGACAGACAGACAGGGAGGGAGGGAGAGGAGAAAACACTTCCCATGGGTGGTCCCACCACAATCACTTGTCCATTTTTCTCTTGGGGATTTTGGGCATGCATGCACATGTGCCTGGTGTGTTTCTCAAGCCGCCAGGTCCTGGATTCAAACCACACAGGAGGCCATGTGGGATTTGGCTGCCTTAAACTCCAGGCCATGGAGATGACCAGAGATAAGACAAAGAGACAGGGAGAGAGGAAAAGTGACCAATCACCCCTCCACTCCCAGGGGGGTTTATCTGTATTTTATTAATTTTCTACAATGAGGGTATATTAATTTTGCAATCAAGAGTAAATTTCTTTTTTTTCTGAGGCCAGTGTTATTCCATACAAACCTCAGTAGTGCTTAGAGCACTGCTGAGCGACAGGTGTTTCCTGCAGGCCAATGCTGGGCTCAGAGTGCCCTTGCAATAGGTCCCAGGGACGCGGGAGGGCAGTGGGGAGACACTGACCTTGCTTTCAGGTGGGAGGACGACCTCATCGTAGGATCCCACGATGGAGCTGGCAAACTTGCTGAAGATGATGGGCTCCGTGGGCACAGGCACGTTCTGTTCTTTGCAGTGATCCACATAATTCATGCCCACACACACCACCTTGTCTGGCCGCGTGACTGGGGCCAGGAGGGTCACCTCTGACCGCGGCAGGACAGGTAGCTGGGCAGCCTGAGCCCTGCAGGGACCAGAGCAGGAGAAAGGGGCTGGCTGGGGAGATCCTGCAGCAGCTCCAAGATTTGCTTTTTAAAATATACTTCCCAGGGCCAGTAGATGGCGTGCTGGTTAAGGCACTGGATCCCACATGGACACTAGCACAAAACAGCACAGTTAGACAGCCAGACCTGGTGTTTTGAAAAACATGCTGGGCTTGCATGCATGTGTGTTCCAAACCCCAAGAGGAGAATGCAGGAAAAAGGATTATGGTATGACCATCCCGTTTTCTCATTTTCCCTCCCTCGCTTTCTGACTAGCCACAGTGACCTACAGCAAAAACCTACATATAATATACATTATATAAATCTTTTTCCAGCTCTGTTGCCCTTAGTGTCAGCATGAAAACCCAGCCCAGCTACTGTCCTTTGTTATCACAGCACTGTTTATCACTCATCCACTGTTAATTTCCTGACCGAATTAGGTAATTCATGTCCACATACAAGAGTTCAAAAGGTAGAGATGGGAATAAGTTTCGCCCCTCTGGCCACCCTGTTAACCTCCTTGGAGACAACCACGTGTCCAGTGCGGCTCTTTACAGCCACTCTGGTGATCTCTCCCCCCACCTTTTGGATGCACAGGACAACACACTACAGACACCTCTTTTTTGTTCTTTTTACTAGAGGGTGCCTGTACTCACCAGAGACAGACAGACAGGGAGGGAGGGAGAGGAGAAAACACTTCCCATGGGTGGTCCCACCACAATCACTTGTCCATCTTTCTCTTGGGGATTTTGGGCATGCATGCACATGTGCCTGGTGTGTTTCTCAAGCCGCCAGGTCCTGGATTCAAACCACACAGGAGGCCATGTGGGATTTGGCTGCCTTAAACTCCAGGCCATGGAGATGACCAGAGATAAGACAAAGAGACAGGGAGAGGAAAAGTGAGCAATCACCCCTCCCCCCCAGGGGGATAACCATGTGGCAATTCCTTCTGTTCTACTCCAATGATTTTGGGCACAGATGCATACACTCCCAGCGTGATTTGCAAGCTGCTGGCTCTGGGACTGGAACCTGTGCAGTCGGCCATGTGGGTCCCAGCACCTTAGTGTCCATGCCACGTCCTGGCCTGAAAATGACATCTGAACGTGGTTTTAATGTACTTTTGATGCTTTGGGTCAGATTTCACAGGGCTCCTGGATTCAAGGACACTCCCACCTACTCTAGCTCAAACTCAGGAATTATCTTAGAACCTCTTTGCAGTCTCCTCTCCCCTAAGGAATCAGCAGTTGAAAGCACTCCCTCCAACTTCCCAACATGCCTTTTTGGACCCCCAGTCTCAGACCTGTCAGGCAGACGGGGACTTAAGCCCCCAGAAGGGAAGTATGACTACTCAGAGTCCTGCCTCCTCCACTAACTGTGGCCTGGGGAGTTCCTCACTGGTCTGGGTTCCCCTCTGTAATTTGACCATGTGTGAGATTTCTGAGGCTGGTGAGAAAAGAAAGATGGGGTTGCCTGCTCCCTTGTGAAAGAGCTACCTGCTGGTTCCCTTTCTCCAGGCAGGGATGGGGTGGGAGGGAGGAGAGGGGACAAGGAGGCTGCTGCAGGCGGTGCTGTCTGCTGACTTACCTCCTTGCCACGGAGAGGGTGGCTTCTCCCTGCTCCAGAAACTGCGTCATCGTCTTGGGGAGGGTGGGGTCAAAGGCATTGAGATCGATGACCCCTCCCCCGTCCCCTGACTCCAAGCCCAGGTGAGGCCCCTCCAGGTGGGGTGCCTGGAACTGCACCAGTCTCATGTGTCTGGAGGGCTGAAGGGACCCCTTCCTAGCCTGCAGCAGAGCCGTGAGCAACCTCCTTCCACCAGAGACCAGCATCAGAGCCTGTGGAGAAAAAAGTGGGATCCAGGGAGTGGGATCCCTGGTCCAACCTCAGGGTCCCTGGAACGCCTCGAATGCACTTTATCCCGGCCACCATTCCTGCCACAGCACAGGGGAAGTGGCCAGACTGAAGTCACTTCACCCTGATTAACTTCCCAAGGTGAGGCAGCTGGAGAAGACCGACTGCTGTGCCCAGGGTGCCAAGCTGATCCCAGAAATTGCAGCGTTCCTTCCGCCGGTGTTTTCAGGCGCTGGGAGACAATGTAGGTAGGTCGGGTGCCCTCGGGCCTCTCCAGCTTGCAGATGGTCCCCTGCCTCCGCCCAGTGTCTCACGGCAGCGACGCCCACTGGACAGGGCTGAGATGAGCGGGGCTAGCACTCAGCTAACAGTGGCAGCCCAGCATGGGCTGGGGCCACTGATGAAGCCAGTCCCACAGCTGCCACCAGCAGTTTTTAAATGCTAAGTTGATCCTGTAACCCTCCCACTTAAAACGCTTTCCACTGCTCACACGGTGGGAGCCAGAAGCCCCCAGGCGCCCCCAGCCTTCCAGGAGCAACCCCTGCCGCTGTCCCCGCCTCAGTAATCACTGTTTCTCCCGCGGGAGCCCAGGCCAACTGAAGGAAGAGGCTGCGGACATACGGGGCGCCGAGGCCTGGCAGGCACCACTCAGCTGTTCCCTCCAGGTTAGGGGCCACATCTGTCTCACTGCTGAGTCCGCCATGCCCAGCCCAGTGCCTGGTGCACGGGAGGCTCTGGGTGGCTGCAGAACGGAGAACTGACAAAAGCAGAGGCTCGACTTTTCGCTATTTCGGCAAGCGCAGTAACCCCAGCTCCGTGCCTGCAGGCAGCCCTTAAAAGGTCCGCCTCACCCCGTCCTTGTGTTGGAAAGCCGTCCGGAACCCAGGTCAATCCTGTCCTCCTCTAGGCCTGCTCCGGGTACACCTATCCTGGGCCATACCCCACATACCTGTCCGCGGCGGCCGGTCCTCCCCGGCGCCCTGCTCCGTAGGG